ATACACTCAGGACGCTGGAGACAACTTCATTCCCTCTACTGTCCTGCCACTCTTCCCTCCCTTCAGAGTCCAGCATCGTTCTTCTTTTTCTCTCCTAAGGCTGAGGAAGTCCACTAAAAACAAGCATCAAACTGAGATTCTTCAAAAAGCTGGGGGACTGACCATATGCCCACTACTAGAGGAATTTTTAAAAGATAGGAATTCTCAGGAGCAAAGGAAATGAGAGAGAACTGTGACTAATGCACAGAAGCCCAAAAGTCAATGGAGGAGCACTTCTGACCATGTGAGCAGGTGCTCTGCTCTGAATCTGTGTCAAGTTCATACATTGACATTTGTCTCTAATGCCATAGTATTAAGAGGTGGGACCTTTAGAGCTCCAGTAGCACAATCAGTTAATGCATGGTACTTATAAGAGGTGGTACCTTTAGGATGTGATTAAGTCATGAGGGAAGAGCCTCTTAAATGGGATATGTAACTTTACAAGAGAAGCCCATGGAAGCTTGTTCATGGCCTTCCACCACAGGAGGATGCAGGAAAGAGCACCATCCATGTACCTAGATGGCTGGTGCCTTGACCTTGGACTTTCTAGGCTCTACAATTGTGGGCAATAAATTTTTATTGTATATTAACCACCCAACCTAAAATATTCATTAAATGGACCAAAACAAATGGTACCAAGAGTGAGGAGCTGCAATATAGAGTGGCCTTGTAAGTGGGTAATGGGCAGAGACTGGAAGAGTTTGGAGGTACATAGGAAAAGCCTGAATAGCCACAAATGGAATGTTAAGGGTGACTCTGATGAGGGCTCTGTAGAAGAGAAGCAATTAAAGAAAGCCTCAATCAGGGCAGTGCCTGTGGCTCAAAGGAGTAAGGCACTGGTCCCATATGCCGGTCGTGGCGTGTTCAAACCCAGCCCTGGCCAAAAACAGCGGGGAAAAAAAAAAAGAAAGAAAGAAAGAAAGCCTCAATCTTCTTTTTCTCCCCTAAGGCTGAGGAAGTCCACTAAAAATAAGCATCAAACTGAGATTCTTCAAAAAGCTGGGGGATTGACCATATGCCCACTACTATAGGAATTTTTAAAATTAAGATTTAAATTTAATCTTTATTAAATTTACTCTAATTTAAGATCTAATTTAAGATTAGAGATGACCAAAGAGGTCTCAAATAGAATGATGATAGAAATGTGGACAATGAAGGCCATTCTGATGTGATCTCAGATGGAAATGAGGAATATGATATTGGAAACTGGACTAAAAGCAAGTCTTGTGATAAAATGGCAAAGAGCTAAGCTGTATGATAATCATGACCCATTGTTTTATGAAAGAAGGAACTAGTGAGTGATAAGACAGGACATTTGGCAGAAGAAATCACTAATCAGACTGTTGAGGGTGCTGCATGGTTTCAGTCTCTTGACTGTTTATCATAAAATGCAAAAAGACAGAAATTAAAGATAGACCTTATAATCAAAAGGGAAGCAGAACTTAAAGATTTGTGAAATCCTCAGCCTGGACATGTTTGTTTTGTTTTCAGAATTACAATGGTGTTTGGGACAGACTAAGGATATGGCCTAGCCTATTCAAAAAAGAGACTGGTGTGGGTCAGCAGAGGCCAGGTGCTATTCATGAAAACACTAAACAGTGACCTCAATGGCATGGTGGACACTGTTTGTTGTTCTCCTCCCATCACAGGCCCAGATTGCCAAGGTGAGGGAACAGAACTATATCACAACAGGGATGGGCAGACACCCACAAAACATTGTGGTGCCCACTGCTGAGAGCCACGCCAAATCTGTGCTCCCCTCATTCAGGTGCAGCCATCCTCAGCCAACCCACATGTGAGGCTTGCACCATGTGCAATAACCCTGCTGCAAGCTGCAGTGGCCGTCCCTCCTGAGGTCATGGGTAATAAACCATGTCAGTGTTCATGTGGAGCCAACTCTTCAGGATCCCACTGTATGAGAGCGGTGCTTATGTCCCTGCCTCCACCTAGATTTCCAAGGATGCCCTGAAGAACCTCTGAGCTGAGGGAAAGAAGACTGCCACAGGGACAGGGCTGCCATGGTGAGCCCCTCCTAGGGCAATGCCTAGCAAATCCATGGAAGCAAGGCCACCCTGTACACCCAGACTGCCAGAGCCTCCAGCCTGCATGTCCAGCCTGGGATAGCTGCACACACTTGACTCCAATGGCTGAGAGATGCTGCTTGGGCTGCACCCAGCAAAGCCCCAGGAGTGGGATTGCCCAGAGCCTTAGGGACCCAATGCCTGCCCCAGTGTGTGGAGAAGACAGGACTTTGAATCAAAGAAAATTACTCTGGAGACTTAAGAGGTCATATTTTCCCTGTTTGGTTTTGGATTTGTTTGGGACCTATTATCTCTTTCTTCTTTCTTATTTCTCTGGTTTATAATAGGAATTTCTCTCCTGTGCCTGCCCCTCCACTGTATTTTCATAGCACTAATTAGTTTGATTTCATAGGCTTGAAGCTGGAGGGGAATGTGTTTCAGGGTAAATCATGCTTGAGTGTCACCTATATCTGATTCAGATTTTTACTTCATTTTATATATATTTTTATAATTTATAGAGAAAGGATCTCACTCTGTCTCCCAAATTGGAGTGCAGTGGCACAAGTATAGGTTACTGTAGCCTATAACTCCTGTACTCAAGCCATCCTTCTGCCTCAGACTCCCACATAGGACAAGTGTATATGATCATCCCTGGTTAACTTTTGAACATTTTTCAGAGTTGAGCTGTCTTTATGTTCCCAAGGCTGGTCTCTACCTCCCAGGCTCAAGTGATCCTCATGATCCTCATGATTCTTCCAAAGTGGGCAGGAGTGAGCCAATGTGCCTGGGCACAAATGGTATTTAGATGATACTCTGGACTTTAGGCTTTTTAGGTGCTGCTGAAACAAGTTAAGACTTTTGGGCCTACTGGGATGGAATTAATGGATTGCATGGAGAAAAAAAAAAACATGCATTTGAGAGGGTTATAGAACTAATGTGTCCCTCCTCCAATTCATATACCCCACCTTTCTGCCCTGCCCTGCCCCTTTGCCTCTAATACACTATTAAGAGGTAGGACATTCTGCACATGGGTAGGTTATGAGAGCAGAGTTCTCATGCATTTGATAAGTAGCCTTAGAAAAGAGGCCAAAGGAAGCCTGTTTGTCCCTTTTGGATGTGCAAAAAGAGAAGGTGCCGTCCATAACAAGCAGACCCTTGCCAGACTGTGGATCTCCTGGTACCTTGATCTTGTGATTCCCAGTCTCCAGAACTGTGAGCAATAAATTTGTGTTCTTCATAAATTAACCAGGCTAAATTTTGGGTTTGTTTTTTTTTTAATAGCATCCTGAAGAGACTAAGACAGCTGGCAAAGTCCTGGCCACATGGAATGCTCTGGGAAATGTAAGAGACATCACATGTGCTTGGGTATCTCAAGGACTGCCAAACTGGTCTCCAGCATTTATAAAACCTGGGAGGTCTCCAAGTCAACTACATGCGCTCACTCTTAAATGGTAACCCTACTTATTATCGTCCATAATACATTCAGTGCACTGTTTGAAACACAGGGTATTTATAGCCAGGCAGGTGAGTTCAAATCCCTGGTCCCTTACTGAGCTGTGTGAACTTGGGCAAGCTATTTTCTCCCCCTTAAAGCCTCGGTTCTCCTTCCTTTCCACCTGCTATGGCATGAGATTAACACCTGCCATGAAGATTAAATATGATAATGTCAAAATTAAAAATGACAACTGCTTCATATAGAACTCCCTAACCCTTCACACATGAGTTGTTTCAGCTGTCTTCCCCTTCCCTCCCTCCCTGTCTTCACCTCTGTCCCTCCCACTTACGCACCTGCCCTCAGTCAGCCATGCCTTCTCTGCTTCTCAACCCCTCCTCACTCCTCAAAGTTTTCCTCCATCACTTGTCCTCTCCTAGCTTCAATCCCTTACATTGCTGTCTGAGACTCCCTTACCGTTACACAAATCAGCTGCCCATTCCTGCCTCTGTCATAGCAGACTACACAAGTCATCACTTGTGAGAGTCATCACTCCCTCTTTCCCCACAAGAGTCCCCTCCAGGTGGGCTCTTCTGCTTCAGCTCCTAGACTCCTCAAGAAGGTCACTGAAGCCAGCAGATCCTTCCCCAGCCTCACCTCTGTTGCCTTCGAGCCTGACCCTCCCCTTTTCCTTGAACCCCTGCCTTTCAACACTCTTCCTTCTGGCTTTCTGACCACCTATCTGATGTCCATTTAACTGTCTCCTCTG